GTAAAGTGGAAGAGATGATTGGTTCATGTGTGCTCAAGTGTTGTAGTCTGAACTGAGACAGCTACAGCGACCTGTCACCACATTTAAAAGCTTTACGACTTATGATAAAACTGACAATTGGAAAGCTGAGAATTTACCTCTGCAGGACAAATTGGGAAGGACTGGTGAAAATTACCATATCCAGTTTGTTTGGCTGGCCTTCTACTGCGCTGCACACTTCCAAGCAACAACTTGTTGATGGATTTGCCAAGTGTATTGGCAATAAGTCTTTGAACTGTCCAATTGTTTTGTTGGAAGAAAAACATGCAATTATGAAAATTTTGTAAGTTTAATAGTGGATAACAGATGATCAGGCAAATAATGGAAAAACGTCCTCATAGTTCTGATCAAGTCACCTATTGTTGCTGATTGTAGTAACAGCCAGTTTCAGATTTAGTTGCTCTTAAATGACAAACAATTAAATGTGGTTGCTGTTGGGTTAAAGATCCTACAAGGCTTAGTGCTTGTCCATGAAATTTTGTGCAGCTGAACAAGACCATGGTTTGTCCAGGGAGTCCAATCCTGATTCTGGGTGGCCACTTTCCTGTAGAGTTTAGCTCTAAGCCAATCCAACACACCTGCCCGGAAGTTTCCAATAATCCTGAAAACCCTGAGTAACTGCTTCTGTTGTGTCTAGTTAGGGTTTAAGCTAAACTGTACAGGGTTGGATACCCTTGGTCCAGAGCAGGGGTATCCAACCCTGCTCCTGGAGGGCCACTGTCCTGCAGAATTTAGCTCCTGGACCAACTACTCAAGGTCTTCAGACTCAATAGAAACTTCCAGGCAAGTGTGTTGGAGCTGGCAGGAGCTAAACTCTGTAGGAAGGTCCAAAGTGAGTGTCCTGTGCGTGCGTCTCTTTGGATTAAAAGTGGGGTGTCCAGTCCTGCTCTGGGAGGGCCACCTTACTGCAAACCTCCTGCTCCAACCTACCTGACTAGAAGTTGCTAGTAACCCTGAAAAGCTTCATTCTGCTGCATTCCATTTTGAAGGGTTCATACCTATGCCCTAATCCCTTAAAAGGGTTTACCCCCACAAAGAATCATGGGAGTGTTCATTGGTTCATCCTTTAAGGGTCCATTGAAGTGGCCAGTTTTGAGCACTTTGGTTTGAAATGACCCTTCAATATGGTGCCCATGATTGTTCTCATTCCAATGTGAGAAGGGGCATGATTGGACACCCCTGGATAAAAGATTCTGCTAGATCTTTGCTCAAGCAGGGTACAGTTCTTCTAATCTGGCCCTGGAAGGTCCACTGTCTTGCAGAGTTTAAGCCAAACCCTGATCAAACTTACCTACTTGTAATTTTCTAGACCTTGATTAGCTTGCTCAGGTGTCTTTGAGTAAAGATTCAATTCTGCAGGGTAGTGGCCCTCCATGGCTGGATTTGGAGAACCCCGATTAGGCTAGAATAAGATAGTGTTTGCCAGACTTAATACTGATGATCAGGGGTCTGTTGGGTATGTTAGACTCCCAAGGTATAATCTTCATCAAATGCCTTCAATGTCAGCTTTGTTGAATGTAGTCATTCAGGAACAAAATTATTTATCTTTTGTCCACAGGAACAGGTGCTGTTCTTCATGAAGGACATTTTCGATCTGGATAAAGTGCGTTACTCTAGTTTGGACACTCTGGCTGAGGACATCTTGCACCTGCTTCACAGACGTTCTGAACTGCTTCTTGCCTATCTAGGCACTGACATGATCCGTCACCTAAATGGCTGTAGTGGCACACCTTTGCACCTGCTACCCAGTGCTTTGCTGGAAGCACAGGTTCAGTGAGCTACATCTGTATCATCCTCCACATTTTCATGGATGTTTAACTCATTGCCTACAGCTGCTAAGTTGACTGCACATCATGACTCGTCTTCCAAGTCATTATTAATAGTCATTATGTTAATGCAGCATAGAGTTTGTGTAATGATTAAAATGAAGCGGGTAAGAAGGGACAGAGATGTATTTTATATGCCTTTCACGTGGTGTTCTAGTAGCTTTAATTTTTTACTTTTAATGAATGATTTGCACAACGAATGATTTGAGTTTTTGGGTCCTTTGTTTTGAGATTTGAAAGTTTTCACTCTGTATTTTCATAGTTCTGAAACAAGGATGTTATTCATGAGATTGTCATATGTAGGTCAATTAAGAGTCTCCAAACCTTTTATGGGAATTAATGTTCAACACTGGCCAGGAGTTCAGTTTAGACTTCTCTACTCTTTATGATGCCATGAGAATTACGTGGAACAGCTGGCCGTTATGAATTTAAATTACATGATCTATTACAAAACAGTACATGTATTGTGACGAAGTTCAAACATTTGATGTATTCTGTAATATGTGGATTTGAGGCTGCATTTTGTTCATAACATGTTAAGCCAGTATACAAGTTTTAGTTGAACACTGAAATCACTAAATGAAAAATAAAAACCTCAAAGCCAATTTTAATGATTACAATTTTATTGATGACAATGGCAACAATCTAACATTTCAGACCAACAATTCTCAGCAAAAATCAAAAGTACATTCAACAACTTTAACCGTTCATGTTAGTTTTACCTCAAAGGCATGCTCCAAATTTCTCAGATAGCCTCCGATTTTCTCTTCGTTTTTAGACCCCCACGAATTCTGTTGTGAACAATTTGCTCAAAAAGGAAACATCTTGCATGCATACAAAACGATATGCAGCAATGGACAAAGACTAGGTTTAAAGAAACTCTGTTTAACCAACAAAAACCAGCCTGGCAAATGTCTACTAAAAAGAAAGAAAAAAAAAAGTTCCTGGTCATGGTCCACCTGTACAGCATTATGCACATAAAATCCCTACACTTATCAACAAAAGGCAAAGAATGTACTCAAAACATTTCATAGAACCATTAGTCAACCAATAATACAGAGGCATATGGCTACATTTCTAAAATCAAAACTAACTGGCATCACCCTAAACTAACAGTAACATTGACTTTGCAATGACAGATTCCTCATGATATTTTTACCTTATAACTGGAGCCCTTGAACGGTCTACGTTCAGCGGAGGGACAGATTCAAAGGATTCCTCCTTACGGACAAACTAGCTCAGGACCTGATTCTATGAACTACGCCTGCAGCATCTTCAACACTGTGAGTGAGAATGAAGGCAGCAATGTGGGACAAACATTAGCACTACAGAGGGGCAACAAGAAAGCTTGCAAACCAATGAAACATGAGCATACATAGTATACGTCAGTTATCAGTGAGTGCATTAATAGGGCTAACTCTGGATCATTTCGCATCTGCATGCATTGTGTAAGAGCAGAACAGAACCACACTAAACAGACTTACCAGGAAGCTAACAAATGAGCAAATCAAAATCACATTTGTTTCAATTAGGACAAAAAAACAGCATAATTCTAGTTAGATTTCAACAGATGAAAACATTTGTGAACTACAGGTCAAGGCCATGCAATTCATATGGACAAAAAAAAAATGCATACTTCCAAGAAATCTTAATTCTGACGTTTGTGACGAACATCAGTCTATCTACTACGAGAGACATCCTTCATTTAAACAGCGGCACAAATCGACCTCAGTTTCAAAGGTGAAAAGCATTACACTAGATCACAGGTTCAATCGTTTTGATTTCTTAGGATACTCTTACCTGTGTTATTGCTGCAGAACCTAAGGTGCAAGGTCAGGGATGACACTGCAAGATTAGACATTGCACTGCTCACTAATGAACAGTCGAATAAAAAAAATAAAAAAACGCATCAAATCGACAGCCTCATTGACCTTAATCACAAACAGGTCAGGCACAGATTTAGAAATAGGACATTAATACTAATTAACATTTGAAAGAGGCCATTTGCTGACGGTCTTTATGGGCTATGCAGTATAAAACACTTGTCAAATCACAAAAAGACAATTTACATGTCTAGTCAATGTTAAACCACACATTCGCAGATGGAAAAAGTTGCTGTTTCTACAGACGGACTGACTTGAACACAGTGGTACAGTTCACAGTTTCATATGAGAAGTCTGAGAGACGTCCTAAATGACTAAAGCAGTGTCAACATGGCAATGTCTCAATTTGTAAATATCACATAATGCTGTTATGGCAAAAAATAACAGTCCAATGTGAAAAAGGGTCAGGTCATTATTATCTTGAACATGTCAAATCAAAATTACAGCCCTGACATACTTACCCAAAAAAGGGCAACATTTAGAGATTTATATACATTGCGTTTCATTCAGTCAAAGACAATGCATTGACAGCAAAAAGAAACAAATTGGGCCGCAAAATCATGTACATTTTGTACTTACAGTGGAGAGCTCATTTCACTGGTGTAGGAAGCCAGAGTCTCCAAAAACCTATAGGCCTATATTGGAGGAATGCTAACAGACAATGGGCAGAAAAAAAAAGTAGTCCATGTTCGCATTCGAGCCTTTTTAATCGTATCAGTATGTTTTTAATAATGCCAGCAATATTGATAGAAATATATACACAATTTGTGGATTTTAGACATGTAAAATATAGGATGGGGACATGTAATTTCGCAAGACATAACTGTTGATCAGAACACTTGACCTGCCCTGTAAAAAAGCAGCAAACTTGGGAGAACAAACTAAAATACTTGCAACATGATTGCAGTCACAATATAAAAAGGAACAGTTTATGTAAAGACGCATACTTCTTACCGCCTTCCTAATCTCGCCTGTGAGGGAGGAAATGTCTCTCATTAACAGTGCACACTACACCTCAACCAGGTAAAATGCAGTACAAGAATGAGCAACACTACAGCACTGAAGAGTTATTGCATGAATCACATACCTTGCCAACATCAAGCCACCTTGCCTTAGATAACCTGCCTACACCTACATCCACAGCAATGACCAGTAAAAAAAATAAATGCAGCATAAAAACAGAGCTGTCCATATGTCAAACAAGCAATGTCAAATGATCAATGATCTCTTACTTGTGACTTTAAAAAACATTTTTGTTCTGTAAATTTGCATAAACCCCCATGTCCCAAAACTGTTAATGACATTTTTACAAAACATTCCCCACTTTTGCACCCCACTTACCAACACAGGAGGTTTCATTGTTTTATTGCAAAACACAACAGGCATATCATATTAAAACTGAGATAATTTACATGGAAATGACTATAGTTTAGTCTCAGAACTACATGAGATACAGGAGATACAGGAGCTGGAATGACCAAAATTACCCGACTAAAAACAAACCGTTCATTTACAAGAGTGGCAAAACAAAAAGGAAAAAAATTATATATATATACTTGACTTTGGAGCTGGTCTGCGATCTAGCTTAAACACTCAAACCAATGAAATAAAGATCTTCATCATGGCGTCTGCATCCAAACATTTAACAAAGGTTTTTTCTGACAATGTAGCATTTACTTTATGTCCACTTCACATTACTGGCCCTGTGCAGAAGAAATACATAAGAAATACACAACATGTTAAGAGCAGAAACATTTATCCAACACCTTCCCAAAAAAAAAGATAAAAACCCTGTTTGAGGAGGAAAGAGTTTGGTTATGTGTTATATCGATGACTCTTCTGGAAACCTGATGAACCTGTTGAAGAAAATGTTAGATGGGGACAAAAACTGTACACATGCACATCTACCAAGTGAAGAGCGCAAAAGGCAAAGAGCAGAGTGTTTTAATGGGAGTGTACCTGCTGAGCCTGGGGTGCAGCTCCCATCGCCTGAGGGGCGCCTTGGCCGTAGTACGCTGCCTGCTGGCGGTAATATTCTGCCCACGCTGCACTGTAATCTGGCTGACCTCCTGGCTGAGACGCCGCCGCTGCTGCAGCCGCCTGAGGCGCAGCTTGACCTGAAACAAAATAAAACCCAAAGCATTAAAGATGGGAGGTGCAGCAGAAAAATTATCTGGCAGTGTTGTTAAACCACCCCTTTGTACAAGATTGATTTAAGGATAAATTACTCCATGGCAATGTTTGTAAGAGGGGGAACGACCCCGGCCACACTACCTCCGAGTGGCGGGACAGAAACCCGCTACTTTACTCTAGGGCAGCTGAGACAACAGCAGCTCTACTGCAGAGGACTGTGAAAGAGCTGCAGCTGCCCAAAACTATTAGAAATCAAAGCAACTACATCTATGTATGATATCTTACCTTGTTTCTTATAGTACTCTTCCCATGCCTTTGTGTAGTCCTGCTGAGGCTGTCCTTGACCTGAAGAGACGAGATTAAACAGACATTAATCATGAGCTTAAACATTAGAACAGTTACACTGAAGGTAACATTACTGAATTACTTACTGACAATTCTGGTAAAAACATGCAACTATACTACATGCAAGTCTACCACCAAAAATAAAATACCATCAGAAAAATGGTAACTGTTAAATTAAAACAGTTCATGAAGATTTAGTTAGCATTACAATTTCAGCAATTTTAAACGTAATATTTACAAGTACAACTGGCATTGAAACGGCACAAATTTGAAAAGGTGTACATATTTATCCATTACATACATACACAAAACTGAGCAGTACAATCTTATTCATGGTTTTTCGGTGTGTTAATCCTACTCTGAGACACTACAGCTCCTCATTCTGAACAGCAGGGTTTGAGACCAATATTTCTGTGGACAAGCACCAAAGACAAAACTCTCACGCCACTAATTTGCCTCGCTAGACTCCAAAAGTAAAAAGGGACTGACTGGCTACTCAAGCCCTGCTGCTATTTAACCTGATCTCTCAAAGAAAAAAAACCTCAAGCTACATTTGGCAAAATATTTATACCCAATTTCTTGTAATATTCCTCCCAGGCCTTGGTGTAATCTGCCTGTCCACTTTGACCTGGAGTTTGCGGGTCACCTGTTAAAAATGGTACAATTTGAGAAATTGATAACCATTCTTTTAAAGGCTGCAGAAAGTCCTCCACCTGACTAGGTGGCGCACTTTGCACAAACAGGTCGAGTGTCTCAGAAAATGCCCTGTCCATGTGTGCTAGTCGAAAAAGGCCATCCCAGAACAACGAATAAAGCCCATCAGAAAAGCAACATTGTACTGTGCAGTGATGGCTACACTGAAAGGCTACCAAGTACTATTGTACAACAGACAACAGTAGATCTAGAGTGAAGGGAGGGTGACAGTTTTGTGGAGTGCAGGTTTATATATATATCTTAAAAAAAAAAGTACCTTGTCCATTGGTCTGGGATGTGCCAGGGGCTGCTGATGTTGGTGTCATGGGGCCCTGTGGCTGCTGCTGGTACTGAGAATAATAGGCTGCCCATGCGGCCGCATTAGCATCAGCCGCTGCTTTATCTGCAGAGCAAACAACAGCTTAGCCCATTTTGTCTTTCCTCCAACAGACAACTAAAGCTGCATTAGTTTTAACTAGGACTGTGGATGGGCATTGTGGAGAATCTGAATATGATTCTAAACTAAACCTAGTTAGCATGGCTAAGGGACAAGCACTTACTGGGATCTGGCTGTCCTTGCTGCCACTGAGGGTATCCATTGCCCCAGCCTTGAGGCTGGTATGGTGCTGGGGGACCACTGAGGATAAAAAATAAGATACACTAAGTTAATCTCAAGATGAATTGGCACCTAAAGACCGAGTGAAAACACTGACAAATGCTAAACATTGAGAAGGAAAAAGTCCTTACTGTGGTCCAGGAGGGCCCTGGCCATAGGGCCCAGGGTTGTATGGGCCCATGGGAGCAGGTGGTCCTGGTGGACCGGGAGGGCCATGAGAAGGACCTCCGTGGGGCCCAGGAGGACCATGAGGGCCACCCATAGGGCTAACTGGACCCTATGACAAAAAATTATTTTTAGTATAAACCAGGCAATAAGCAATAAATAGACAAAGTTCTGTGTCGGAGCAACATGTCAGAAAAACTGTAATTTTGTGTTAAAAAAATTAGCAAAAATTTGTTAGGCTTAATTGACATCACAGTACTCACTCCAATCTTCTCCTCGACCAGCTGTCTGGCGTAATCAATCTGTTGGGGTGATCCACGGACTGTGAAGATCTTTATATTAGGGTCCGAATTAGGTGGAGGGTTTCTTTGTAGCTCTATCCTGGCTCCTGACTGCTGGCTGATGTTCTTAATGGTTTCACCCCCTAGAGGGAAAAAAATAATAAATTATCAATGTTCATTCATTATCGATTTAGGTCATATAAAAATTACATATCACTTTAAAGGGAAAGCAAATATCAACAACTAACCTTTGCCGATAATGAGGCCAGTCTTCATGGTAGGCACAGTGAAAGTGAATTCCTGCAGGCCTCCAGGAGGGCCCATGTTCCAGTTTCCCTGTCCACGGCCCCTCCCTCTGCCCCCGTGACCAGGGGGGCCTCCAGTCTGCACACTCCTCAGCAGGTCAGTTATGATATCTGCTGCGTGCTGTGCCCTGTCTGGAGGCCCCATAATCTGAGCGATCCTCTCTGGTGTGGAGCCATCATCTGAAGCAAAAGAACAAGCATTTGTGTCAAAGGTTGGTCTTTTAACGCCATGACAACTTCCTTGGCTATTTTCATGGCGAGTAACAAGCTGGAAAAAACAGCATTTTAAAAACTTGTATAGGGCTTTGTTTTAACAAAGGTCAGAAAACTATTCAGATTTGCTTATTCTTATGCACCTGGTTTGAACTGAATCCTCACACCAGTGTCATTTTGAATCTTCTTGATCATTTCACCACTCCTGCCAATCACAATTCCCACTGCAAACCTTGGCACAGGGACCTAAAGCAACAGCAAAAAAAAACTTTGTCAACTGCCTTTCAAATTTCCATTTAAATGTAAATCACAAAAAACCTAATGATTATTCTCATTAAGCAGTACTTACATCCAGACTGTCTCCACCGCCTACTCTAGAACCATACTCTCCTCTCTGTTCCCGGAAACCCTGATCTCTGATCAGATCCATCACCATGTCTTTAGCTTGCTGTACAGACCAAGCAATTAAAAAATATTTAGATGTACAGTCCATAATTTGGAATGATTTCAATGTAGCACTGCGAAGGTTTAAATGTACTCACCTGAACTTTAAAAGGATCGCCAGAGATTCTGAGTGGTTTATCAGCCCCTGTGTTTTGGGGTCCATCTTGAATCATGACCATTTTGACCCCCGCACGTTCCTATTACACAAGTGTTGAACAATTAAATTAGTAAGTAAATGTCTGTAAAAAAAAAAAAAAAAAAGTGAAAGAAAAAGTAGACTTCAAGCCAAATAAATGAGTTTCTGGTTTAACCGCATTTGTGCCCCTTACCTGTAACTGTTTGATTGTTTCTCCTCCCTTTCCAATGACCAGACCAGCTTTGGAGGCAGGGACCAAGATCTCCTGAACAGACATCCCTGGTCCATCATTGTGGTGGAATGCTGGAGAAGGCCTACCTTTCTCGACAATCTCTGTGAGCAAACTCTTTGCAGCCCTATTAAAGAAATGTATATTTTTGATTCCACCTACTTCTATATTAAAAAAACAAAACAAAACAAAAACACTCAATTCAACTATGAGAAAGTTCTAAATGTGTGGAGATACTCACTGGATTGCATCAGGTGAGCCTGTTAATGTCACTGACCTGTCAGGCATGCCACCACTGTCTGTTGGGTAGAGTGCAGAATAAACATTGTCATTTTTTTTTTCTCCAAAAAGAGATGAGATGCACAGAGCCAGGACACAGCAATTTGACTCACCGGGAGAAATCTGTATTTTGCAACCCGAGTCCTGCTGTATTCTTGAAATCTGTTCTCCTCCCCTTCCAATAACTGAAAACAATGGTTTAATTAACATTGTACCTTTTTTGAGATTTAAATGCAAGTCCTCCAAAGCAATGGATATTTGTTTTTCTGAGTTCATAAGTCAACTTACTGAAGCCAACCATGCCATCTGGAACCTTGAACTCTTCTGATATAGACCTGCATAGAGATGTGATAACATTAGAAGAAAAAGGAAATGCAAAAATGTACCATTTAAAAAATACAAATTATGTGTTGCATTAAATATTTTGTTTAAAAAAAATAAAATAAAATAGTTACCTTGGTGGGCCACCCATGCCTCCCATTACAGATGAAAAAGCTGGTGCAAATAAAAGCATTAACTTATGAGATGAGCAACAGACACATCTTAAAAATTGTTAAATACATAAGACATATTTAATAGCTAATTAGTTCTTCCCAGAAGACAATAGCAATGCTTACGATCACTTGGTGGAATCTTCTTGGTTTCTGGTTGATCTGCAAAGAGAGAGAGAGAGAAAAAAAAAGACCAAAACAGTTTAGACTAAAACAATGCACTTAAAACATCTAGTAGTACCGCTAACTATATTAGTACTACATATCAGACTAACTAAAACTTTTAACCCACTGGTAGCCTCTGGTCTTTTTAGGCAAAAAAAGACAAAACACAAAAACAAACTGACCTAATACATTTTTATACAGAAATAAATGGTGCATATTGTGAAGCAGTGAATATTGTTTAGTACCATGAAATCCACTGAAAATATATAAAAAAAAATACTGAAATATTTTTTTACTAAAATATAGCACACTCATTTTAATAACAAAAAAAGTTTGACCAGGTTGGCCAAACTTCGATATAAAGACAAGATGGAGGAGAGGTTTATTAAAGGAAATACGAAGCATGGCAGAATCTTAATATGATGATGGGAAGAGCCCAGGCTTCAACTCGAGTTCAGTGTCCAGACCCTGCCTCCTTTGTTGAGCAGCTGAATGCTTTTTATGTTAGGTTTAATATGAATAATTCTGGAGTGAATTGGGACCAGACTGACTTAAAGGGTTAGTTCACCCAAAAATGAAAATTAGGTTGTGTTTTACTCACCCCAGAGCCATCCTAGGTGTATATGACTTTCTTCTTTCAGACGAATCCAGTCGGAGTTATATTCTTTACCAATCCTCGTTTTGTACTTCTAATTAGTGACCGTTGTTTTGTTTTGATCTCTCCGCTGCAATTCCGCGTGCGTCACTTCTGAGCTGCGCATGCTGACCTCATACGTCATCCGCCCGGAACTGCTTCCGTTTACAACAGTGAGTGCAAGCTAGATTAAAGTGATTATTACATTTTGAATATGGATATTTTTCTTACAAAAACGCAT